CTCGGGAGTGCTGGTTTCTTTACCAGTCTCTAAGACCCCCGTGTCTCAGTCGGGGTGAGCTGAGCACTGCAACAGACACCCCAAACTCTCCAGAGTCCAACTCAACACAAGTCCGCACGTGGTTCTTTGGTGTGGTGGAGGCTTTTGCCAGGAGATCCCAGGACCTGAGCACCTCTGTGCCCCAGGGCCCTCTCCCAGCCAACGAGGACAAAGAGGGGTCCTCTGGCCTGGGTGGGTTTCGTGGGTGAGACCTGCCAGTGGGCCAGGGCCACCAGCCAGAATTCAGCCACGTGACCACCCTCCCTCCAAGGAAGGCGGGAAGTGTAGTGTAGCTGCGGCCAGTCAGAGCCGCTCCCACCTGCGCCCCCAAAGTGGGAATGCTGGGTGCCAGCTCCCACCCATCGCGTTCACTGTGCCTGGCTCCAGGCCTGGCATAAACGTGGGCCTGTGCCAGTGGCTGGTGCCTGCGCTGGCTCCTGGGCACTGAGCTGAACAGGCTCTTTCTTTGCAAGTGCCCAGCTGGGGGCAGGGGCAGTGCTGCCCCCCCATTTCTCAGGCCAGGAAGCTGAGGCGTTTCCCAGCAGCATACGGCAGGGGGTCACAAGCCCAGGGAGTCTCCCTTCAAGCGCCCCTCCCTACTGCCCACCCTCGCCGGCTCGAGCCTGGTTATCTTCAAGGCTGCTCTCCTTCCTAACAGCCACGGAGCCGTGTTTGACAAGACGGGGGCTCCTTGGGGCCGCAGCTGATCTCACTCTTCTTTATGCGCCCCTGGGCTCCTAGTCCAGCCCTTGAACACAGTAGGTGCACAAACCATGTTTGGGGGATTCATTTGTTCACAGAGACTCAGGCTTCATGCTTTTCTGCTTGCACAGTATGGGGGTCACTTACAATTATTAAAGAAATAGAAGAAATGTTTATTATCCCGTCCCTCCCTGTGCAGAGTCAGGGCTGGCATGTGCTCCTGGAGCACAGACAAGCGCTGGGTCACCTGGGGGCCAAGGCCACAGGTGTCGCCTGCACCCCAGGGCTAGACCATGAGCCCCCAGCACAAGAACACATAGAATGCCCCTGCATCCAGAGAGGAGGGCAGATGGAGGCAGCGGTGGGTTCTGTCCGTGGTGCTGAACTCACCCACCTCAACTCTCACTTCATTCTCTAACCCAGCATTCACTTTGAGCTTCTCGGAAAGCCAGGTAAAGGTCCAGATCCCCCGATGCCTTCTTTGTGGACTTGGGGTGCTGAGGATCCAAGCTGGGGGCCTAGAATCTGTTTTTGCCAAGGACCGTGACTCATACAGCCAATTTCATACTGGCCTGAGGCTGACGCACTCACCCAGTCACCGATCTTCATGAAGAGCCTGCTATGTGTTCAGCATCGTGCCAGGCACTCAGGTGCAGAGATGCACTGAGCAGCGTCTCTGCCTGGGGGGTGGGGGGCTTACAAAGTTATTCAGGAGGAGATGGAGGAGGGAAAGGGGAAGAGTTGAGTGCCCAGCAATTGCCTCACCTTTACCCCGCAAGGTCAAGGCAGCACCCACAGCCCGACTAAGACGCGTGTCTCCCCTCGGGGTTTCCCAAGCCCCATCTCAAGGCCGGCTCCTGCCAGCCTCCTCACAGCCGGAGGCCCAGACACACTGAGTCTCCCTGGCCCCCGCTGACTGCACGCTCAGACGTCATCTTCCCTCCCTGTCCCTGCCTTTCGTCACTGCCTACGTGCCATGCCACGGCTTCAGGAGTGCCCCACCTGTGACCTGAGACTCCCAGAGAGAGGAGGACTTGCACCTCGTTTCCCTGTGAGCCCCAGAAGATGAGCGGGACACGCGGGGCTCCATTACACTGGCCCCTGTACTCTGGTTTGCGTTGGGCATTTTCCATAGTAAGAAGTAATATTTCTGGCCCTCCCTGGTGGCGCAGCGGGTTAAAGCACAGCACTAAGAAGCTTAAGCCCTTCCGCATGAGTTCGATTCCCGCCTGCCCCGGAGGTGACCACATGGCGCGGCAGACCTCTCCTGACCCGCCCGCTGCTCCCCTCAGCAGTGTGTTTCGTCGATCTGCCTGTTCTGTTCCCCGCTCTGACTCTGGTGAAGCCTCTCGCCGCCCCTGAACCTCTGGCCTGTACCTCAGTTCTGTATGCACAAATAAATAAATCTTTAAAAAAAATAAAGTAATATTTCCACTGCACTGGCCGTCTCTCTCCTTCCCTTTCTCCCTCCTAGGCGGTCTCCCTCGTGCCCCACATTCATGCCCAGAGAACATCTGCTTTCATGAGACACAGCTGTCCTGACTCCACCTCCTGTTCTCCCCAGCCACCCCGGGGGGACGGGGGCGGGGGTGGGGGGACAGACCTGCTCCCAGGCCACTGCCTGGCCCACCTTCGGCCTGGGGCCTAGTTCCCTGGAGCCCACCCTGATCTCGGGGTTCTGAGCACTCGTCCCAGCTGCTTTATCACTGGGCAGTGGGAACATCCCCCCACCCCACCCCAGTTCCTTGCAATCATCCACCCAATAAGGTCTGTCCCTCCACCCCCGCCCCCGTCCCCCCGGGGTGGCTGGGGAGAACAGGAGGTGGAGTCAGGACAGCTGTGTCTCATGAAAGCAGATGTTCTCTGGGCATGAATGTGGGGCACGAGGGAGACCGCCGAGGAGGGAGAGACGGCCAGTGCAGTGGAAATATTACTGCTTACTATGGAAAATGTCCAACGCAAACCAGATACAGGGGCAGTGTAATGGAGCCCCATGTGTCCCGCCCCCGCCCCAGCACCTGTCCCCCGCTGCCTCTCTGTTTCATTCTTCCTCTCCAGCATCATTCTTAAGGAAATTCCAGACATTATGTCATTTCACCCAAGTATTTCACAGTGTACCTCTCACATAATAGAACGCTCCTTAAAATTAAAAAAAAACCCTCATTATCATTATCGCACCTAATAAAATTAGCAATTTCTTAATACCATCTAATACAAAGCACGTTCAAGGTTCCTCTTTTCTCTCAAAAATGTCTCTTTAGGGCCGATTGATTTGAATCAAAACTAAGATCCATATGTTGTGCTTTCTCGCTCTGGCTCTGAGATCAACTTTGGTCTCGGACAGGCCTTCTTTTCAGACTATTTTACTTAGTGAAGAAATCAACAAGCAAATGCTCTGTCCTGCGGAGGGAGCCCTCGGGGTGCCGTTTAACATGTTCTGCCGTCTGCCCCGCCTCCCTCCATGGCCTGCAGCTGGGTTGACCTTGATCCGTGGGGGGCCAGATGTGCACCAAGCAGGCTTCTGGGCGTGCTGAGCCCGCCCTCTGCACCATGTCAAGAGCCCCTGAGGTCTGGGTGGTGCTAAAAGTGATCAGCCTGATCCCTCCATGATGCTCCTCTTTGCCTTACCTCTATGCATTCAGCTCCTTTTAGGAAACCCTACAGCTGCCAGAGGTGAAAGAGGTTGGGGGACACACCCGCATCTTTTCTACTCATCCCAAGTATTCGCTGAGTATCCACTAAGCCAGGCAGAGAGCTGCGGGGCACAGACCAGCACACACTTGGGACCATGGCGCCCACCGTCAGACGGGCAGACGGCGGCTTCGTGGGTGAGCGGGCATGACTGCAAGGGTCCCAGCCGTGCAGAGCGACCATCGAGCGGTGGAGGGCAGTGACCCCTGTCAGGTGGTCACTTTGTGATGAGATTGGGGGCCACCAATGGGCCAAAGTCTCCCGCCCGCCCGCCCACCCTCCCTCTCTGCGCAGTGGGAATAGTAGACTCAGGGTCACCACCTTACGCCCCACCCAGGCCCTGCCTGAGGGGCCCACAGGAATCACCTGAGTGAAAGAGCGTGGGCAGCTTCCCACTCTCCCATGCAGAGAAACAAGGGTTAACACAAACACCCTCCTCCCTCCATTCCAATTCTGATCCTTGCTGACTCTGCTCCCCTCCCTACACAGCTATTCTGGGACAATGGAGGCAGCAGATGGCCGAGTCCTGTTCTCCTGTTCCCTCCATCTGACCCCCAGGATCTGAGAACAACCCGCAGATCTGCTGCCGCGTCTAAACGCAGGCTGGCCGGCAGCCTTCCACGGGCTGGGGGTGCACACTGGCCCCTTGGAGCGTCCATCCCGTAAACCCAGCAACGGTCAGGAACGGAGGCGGCTCTGAAGACAACAAGCAGCCCGCTCTGAACCTGACCTGCCGTGTGACCCCGGAGACATACAACCCCTCTCTGGGCTGTCCACTCCTCCTGGGAAAACAAGGGCTGCGGGCCCAGTGCCCTGGGGTTCAGACATCCCAGACAGAGTCCTAGGGCCGGAGCTCGAGCCCCGCCCAGCCGCCAGGCTAGATGCCCTCCATCCCAGGATCTCCCCCGGGCTCCCCAAGTCCAGAACCCACTGTGACCCCAACATCCAAAATCACTGGGCACGCTGTGGCAGGGAGAAGAGGCTTCCTCTCCTCCCTCACCACCTCCACACCGCCGGGCTGAAACGTCACCAGCTCATTTCTGGTCACTCACGGGAACTCTGGGGCCTGAAGTGACCGAGGGCTCCTGCGTGTGTCCAGTTCCTACCGCGGCTGTCAGCTGCTCCTTTATCTGACCGCAGAGGCTTCAGCCTCTGCTGAGTCTGCACTCTGCCTTCCCTCATCTCTGACCGGCCCCAAAGGCAGAGAAAGGGAAGAGTTCACTCGCACCAGCACCTGGCGACACGTGCAAAGTCGCGTGTGACCACCCTGCACATGCATGTGACACAGACACACGCGTGCACTCTCGGGGACAGTCACGGGGCTGGGCGCAGGCCCGCGGGCACGCAGGTCACTCTGCTGGCTGAGCTCTTCCTCCTCGGAGCCAGGCCCAGGGCCCTTGACTCACACGCGCCACGGACGCCACCCCGGGAGGCGAGCCTTCCTCCCCTCGTCTGTTGAGTGGGCGGCACCACCCAGGAGCCCGCCATCGCCGCTGTGACGGCCACAGGCCAGGCCCGGTCAGGCCGCCAACAGGACACCGCGGGACAGGAGGCCTTAACAAGGGTTTAATTTTCTTGCAGAAGCAGCGCCAGGAGGGACAGCTGGGGGCTGTCGTGGCCTTTCTGTCACAGCAGCAACCTGGCTGCCCCAGAGCCGGACATCACACCCGCATTCACAGCAGAAAGACGGGGTGTGGGGGTCCAAAAGCCCCTCCACGAGCTTCTCTACTGACCTTGCTCGGTTCACACTAACAGGCAGAGCTGCCACATGGCACCCCAACAGCAAGGGGGGCGGGGAGGTGACACCAGGCCACCAGGGCCGGCTGGGACCCCCGGCGCCATCACCTGGGCCTGATACTCCAAACGAGGCCCTTTGTTGCAGGGGCTGGGGAGCAAGGAGCTGGAGACGGGGGAGCAATAGACCTGCCACTATGCCCCCGGGACCCTCAGGGCTGGGGTCCTGCCAAGGGAGCCAGGAATGGGGGCCCCAAGTTTGACCCCGGGGGAGTGGCCCCAGTCAGGGACCTAAGTATCTCTCCAGAGGGCTGGGATGCTCGGTCCAGTCCAGTTTGAGGGCCCCTGCCCTTGTTCAATTCAGACACCCTCAAGTCCACGAGGTCCAGCCTCTGGGGCCTCTCGGGCCCTCACCCACCTCCAGGCCGCCGGGATGCTTCTCCGCCTGCCTCCAGCCATGGTGGTCTTGCCCACGCCCGGGGGGCCCGCCGGGGACCGTCCACCACAGGGCACTTGCCATGGGCCCACAAGGCTGCCTGGGGAGGCGACGGTCAACCCAAGGCCTCGCCCAACCTCTGCCCGTCAGCATTCATCGGGCCACCAGTCGTGGGCACCAGGGAGTGTCCGGGTAGAGGAGGCAGTGGAGGGAGCGAAACCTGCCGGGAGACCAGAAATGGAGAAGATGTCACCCCACGGCTCCCCTCACCCCGCAGGCTCAGGAGTCTGACTACAAAAATGTCTCCCACAAATGTCCCTGCAGGGAGGGAGGTGCAGCCCAGCTGAGAGTGCTACTTCAGTCAGATCTCAAAGCCCAGAGAAGCCGCGAGGGCCTCAGCTGAGGCAGACGCCTGAGCACAACCTGGCTGCCCCAGAGCCGGACATCACACCCACATTCACAGCAGAAAGACGGGGTGTGGGGGTCCAAAAGCCCTTCACGAGCTTCTCTACTGACCTTGCTCGGTTCACACTAACAGGCAGAGCTGCCACGTGGCACCCCAATAGCAAGGGGGGCGGGGAGGTGACACCAAGCCACCATGGCCGGCTGGGAGCCCCAGCACCATCACCTGTGTCTCCAGCTGGCCACAGCCCTGTTGGGCAGGAACCTGGATTCCAGAATGTTCAGGCTCAGAAGGAATTTAGCATCCACTCTTAAACTCTCTGGCTGACAGGCAGGGCGGGCACACCCCCACTGATGGGGAGCTCGCCACACGGGAAGGCAGCTCCTCTCATGGAATTTGGGAATTTATTTTTTATCCTGTCGTAATGTCCTCCCTGACTAAACCAGGCCAGTGGGAGCCCACCGCCTGGGACACCGGCTTCAGTCTGGCTCCCCCAGAGCTTCATCCTTAGAGAAACACAATGTCCAGACAGCCTAGTGGCCCAGGGATCCCCAGTGTCTCCCTCACTGAATTTGAGGCCACCCTCCCCTCTGGTCCTGCCTCCGGTCACCCCGGCTTCCTGACTCCGTCAGGCAGTGCTGGCCGCCTGCCTAGAGGTCACCGCTCTGGATGGCCCTGCAGCAATGGGGGCCTTGGCGGGAAATCTCCCTGTGGCCTGGCTAGGGCAGAGCTAAGGTTCCTGCGATGCTAAGGGTGGCATCGCAACCCTGCACCAACCCTCTGCCCACCAGAGAAGCAGTAAAGGGCATCAGAGAAACAGCCTCAAAAGAGCTCAGCTCCTGTGCTCAGTGAAGACACTGCAGTCTCCCAAGGGCTCCTGCAGGACCTCAGGGCGTCAGACTGGGTGAGCCCTGCAGGCCACGGTGCCCAGCCTCCAGGTCCTCGGGCCGCAAAAGGCAGGCTGAGGCCCAGGGAATGCAGGTCCTCGCTCAAGGTCACAGCAAGCCGAAGGCAGCGGGGCAGAGACCCACTCTCCCCACTCAGTGCTGCGCCGTCAGCTGGGGGTCACCGCACCCCCCACCTGGAGGTCTGGCTTCAGCCCCCAGACTCACCTGGAGGGGTCCTCCTCCGGGGAGAAGGGACCCTGGAGCCTGATGACATTCAGCTTTCCCTCCAAGCTGCCGTAGCTCAGCGTGACCTGAGCAGAGAGGGGAGGGGCAGTTGGGGGGTGTCCCACCAGAAGCCCCACCAGCAGTAAGGCATTCTGAGGGCACAGACGGTCTCTGAGGCCCCTGCACCTCTGCTTTCACCATCAGCACAGGCGCTTCGCTGAGAAGCCCACGGGCTTGCCTGAGGGGCTTCAAGCTCACGGGGCACTTCCAGCCCCCACGGTCTGGGCCACTGAGGCAAGACCAGGAAGGGGCTGGACACCCAGGTTTGGAGGGTGGCAGCCGCGGGTGGGGAGACCCCACTGTCCTGGCCAGATGGAGGGCTGGAGAGAAGAGATTGGTAGCAGGTGGGGAGCAGGCTCTGAACCTGGAGACAGCTGCGTCTCAGTGTTTCCACCTGGCATTGGGGACCAGACAGCATTTTAGCGTCACAAATGCCAAGCCTGGAGGGGCAGAGTTAGAGAGGGATGAGCCACTGTGTTTAGGGGTCTGTGCCGACCCAGACCAAGTGTCCCATTGGGAGGGAAAGACCACTCCCACACGCCCACTGCTCCCCTGCCCAGCCCGCTCCCGGCCCCAGGCCTGCTCACCTGCTCCAGAAGCTGCTCAGCACCCAGCAGCTGCAGGGTCTCCAGGTGGGAGTGGAAGAGGGGGCTGGGCTGCAGGCGGCCGCCCAGCTTGCACTCCACGATGTAGCCCACGGTACAGTCGTCAGGCAGCCGGATGAGGGCAGAGGTGTCCGTGAAGCGGGGGCCGCTGAGAGGCAAAATGGTGAGGCCACGGGCCCTTGACATCTGGGTGCCCTCCCCACCTTCCCAGATGCCCTCTGCTGAGGCTGGCAGAGCTCAGCACACTCTGGCTGCCCCCTGTGTGATCTCAGATGGGTCACAGACCTGGAGAGGCCTCAGTTTCCTCTTTTGTGCAAGGGGGATAATGATGGCCCTGCCTCACGGAGCTGCTGTGAGGCCATGGCGGAGGACAGAGGAGAAGCCTTTATGAGGCATCCTTTCCTTCCCTCCCTGCCTTTTCATCCCCTCACCCACTCGGTCACTGTTGAGCTAGAACTGCCACCCAGTGTCACCCCGCTAGGGGTGAGGACACAGAGCTAAGAGGAGCTCTGGCCCTCAGCAACAGCCCCATTCTGGGGGGAGACAGACAGTGCGCGTCACTTCAGAGTATGTCAGAGAGGAGAGATCTGAGGGACGCAGGAGGGCACCCTGGAGGTGACGGTTTTGTTTTGCTTTTTATTTAATTGTGACAAAGTCACCTTTAAAGAGCCTTACTGAGTGAACTGAGGCTAGTCAGGTTTGGGGAGCAGTGTCCCAAAAGTACCCCTTACTGCACACACCCCAGTAATGCCCCTGGGGACCAGCTTGGGCAGACTGCCCCCTACACGGGATGCCCAGACAGGAGGTGTGAATGGTGCAGAGACCCAGTCTTCCCTCCCCTGCCGTGTGCCCAGGGCTACACCGCCGAGAGGCCCCAGAGAGGTGAGCAGAAGCCCAGCGTGGGCACATCTGGCACACCTGCTGTGCCCAGATGGCATCTCTGCTCCCCCTGCCAAGCAGGGCACACCCGTGTAGGAACAAAGCCCATAGACCTTGGCCCTGGGTGACCCTGTACCAGCTACATGCTCAACTTCTCAGCGCCTGTCTCTCAACCATCTGAACAAGGCTGACACCCCGCCCCGTGCTGAGACCCCCTGTGAGGCACATGTCTTGCTCCGTCGATGCTCCGTGTAAGGCAGTGACGTGACCCTGCTGCTCTTAACAACGGCCTGTCCAGGAAGACATCCAGAGGCCAGACCTCCACTCCACTCTAGAATACCAACACCCACCCCCAACCTGAGGGCAGCATACCCCGAGGTTCCCCTCCATTTGCGGCCTTCTAGGGCCATCCCAGCTCAAGTGCCACCTCCTCAGGAAGCCTTGTCTCCTGTTGCCATGCGAAAGGCTCTCCCCTCCTCTGAGTGCTCCTGTACTTGCCACCGCCTCCTCTGTGACACTGACGTGTCGGAAGAGGCCCGTAAGTGAAACCTAATGCTCTCCTGGCCCCCATGAGTACCAGCAGGCACTTCCTGTGCTGGCCCTTACCCACCGGGTATCACAGGTCCTCTTTAAAGATAGCAGGTGTACCCCTACCTGTGACTCTGACACGGGCTCCATAGAGCTGGATCTATGGAGATCCCGTCAGCTCCTCCTGAGCTGGATCTCAAGCCTTCCTGTTCAAAGGACCCACACACGACCAGCTGCCAGCCCTTCCCCAAGCCCCAGCCCCCCAACCCACCGCGGACTCTCTGCTTACCTGGCCCATGGGGCCATCTTCAGAGCCAGTCTGCGGTTGATGCAGAAGCCGGCACCCCCAGTGGCAAACCAGAACTGCACCAGCCTCTGAGGGAAGAAGGGAGCGGGCCAAGGTGCCCGGTAAGCCGGATGCCCCACCTCCAACCAGCATGGCCCAGAGGCTCTCATCTCTCTGGCTGGAGGCTGACACTACCGTACCCATTTTACAGATAAGGAAACCAAGGCCAAAGTCATACAGAGGATTAAGAATGATGGAGGTCACCCACTAGACCCCAAAGAGTGCTTGTGTCCTGTCTGCCCACCCAGCACACCCCTTCCCCTTTCCTCAGAGAACCTCTGTCCCTCAGCCCATGTGGTTCAGGAGTGACCACCAAGCGCAGCACCTGTGCCCCTGGGCCACAGAGGTGGGCAGGTGCCAGAGGAAAGAGGGATCACAGGCCACACCCCCTTAACCCCACGATTGGCTCAGATGCAGGCACATGACTTGGAACAGCCAATCAGAGTCCTTCCTGAGCTTTATATGCTAATATGGGACACTCTGTGTGGGGTGGGTGGGGCTAGATCCCAGTGGTCTCCTCACTGCAACTCCCAGGACTCCCAGCTCCTGGGACTGGGGGAAAGCTTTTCTGCAAAAAGAGAGGACGAGCCTCTCCTGGAGTAAAGAAAGCCCGACAGGCCTAAGAGCCCCCGAGGCCAGCAATTCTTCCACATCTCAATCTCTGGAACCAGAAATAGCCCTCTGGGGTTTAAACCACATTCTGCCCCTGCCCAAGGCCTCCTCCCTCTCCCCTGTGTGAGGACTCATGAGTTCACCCACAAACTTCTCTCACCCCTACAGCTGTACCACCTCCTGGTTGAGTAAGTTTCCTGCAGGCTCTTTCCCCTGAGTACTCAGTTGATGCTTCACTGATGCCCGTGGATCAGGCTGAGATACCCCTGGGCTGCAGGGGTGAGAAGAGCCCTAGCCGGGGGGCAGAGAAGCCCGACTCCGGGGACCCCACCTTCACCACACAGCTTTGTAGACTTGAGAAAGTGACCGAGCCTCAGATTTGCCACCCGTGGGCACAGCTCCAGTGAGCACAGCTCCAGTTCTGAAACCCGAGGCTGGCCCAGCGTGTCCTCCCGAAGACCTCCATGGTCACTTCTCAGAGAGAGCAGCGCCCGACAAGGCAACAAGGTGCCCAACACGTGCTGTTTAATGAATGAATCAGTGCCAGCTTCCTTCCCATATCAAAACAGCAGCTACACCTGAACAATACAGTCACCCAACTGAGCGCTGACTCAGCCGAGCCCTGTGCCGGGGCTGGCTGCGGAGGGGGTGACCAAGGTGCAGAGAAGGGAGGTCGCTTGCCAGCGATTCTTGAGCCGAGGCCGACCCCAAACCGGAGCTCGCCCCCTTTGCTCTCCCTCCTGGGGACCCCAGGGTCCGAACAGGCCGGGATGCTTTGAGCAGTGTGCTGTGATCCTGCTGCTGGGGTACAAGCCAGGGAGGCCATGTGCACTGTGGAACGGGGCCAGTGTGTGCCCGGCGAGGTGATGGACCTGCAGGGAGAGGAAGGCTGCCTGCGAAGGTCTGATTGCTGACCCCTCCCGGTGTCCACTGCCGCAGGACCCGACCTCACTCAGCCCTCACAGCCACCCTATGAGAAGAACTATCATCACCCAGTTCACAGACGAGAAAACTGAGGCACAGCGGGGTTAAGTTACTTCCATCAAGTTCGCAAAGCCAGCAGGTGGCGGGGCTGGCGTGGGAACCCAGGGAGGCAGAGCCCAGAATATTCTCAGCCTTAAGGCAAACTGTCTAAGCAGAGCTGAGTGGCTGGGTAAGGGGTATAGGAGCCAGGGGGCCCTCCGTTCACCTGGGATCACTCACACACGCATCCCTAGGACCCAGGAGGATTTAATTAGGACTCAGAGACTGATTAGCTGCTGGTAATTAAGGTTTTGTTTTCTGCTCTTGCTTCCCCTAATGACACAGATGGTGGAGGAGGGCAGGACAGAGCCCGCCGCAGCCGGCTACAGCCCCAGGCACGGCTTGCAGGGGACCCCCGCCTGGCCTTTTCTCTGGAGCCAAGGGAACCAGCCCTATGGCCTGGGCCACCCCAACACCAGAAGCCTGCTGCATTCTAGGACAGGCAACATATTTAAAGTTAAAAACTTCTCTGTTGCTTATCTGAAAGGCAGAGTTGACTGGTATCACGGGCTTGGGTTTGTTCTCTAAACCTGGCCATCCTAACCGTGTCCACCCAGGTGGGGAGCAAGCTGCTGCTAGGGACCCTGCTTGCCTCAGTGGCTGGACAGTGAGAGCAGGAGGCCGCAGGGGTGCGGAGGCCTCAGGGAGAGGAACTCAGGCTCAAGCAGCTTGTTTCACCCCTGGCCCAGCAACAGTGGGTTTCAACGACTGTCCACCCGCATGTGACAGCGGTGGCTCGGAGCCCTGCGGGTCACCCCCTGCACTCACCCCGACTCGCTGCGGGACCAGGACTGCCCCCAGTGACCCAACTCCATGCCACTGTCCACACATGACTTGTATTACCTCAGAGTCCCCACTTCACAGGGAAGGAGTCAGGGTCACAGGCGGAGCCCCAGCCCAAACACACGATCCAGCCCTGTCTGAAAGCCCCCAGCTCTCCACTCCCACCCGCCCGGCGGCCCGGGAGGAGGAAGGTGCCCACCGTGCGGTTGTGGGACTGCGGCTCCGAGGCGCGGATAGGCCGGTTCAGGCTCGGCCGGCCCACGTAGACGTCGCGGGCGGCAGGGAAGGCCGTCAGCAGGCCCAGCAGCGCCCTCGGGTTCACGTAGTTGTCGTCATCCACATGGCAGAACCACCTGCGGGGACAGAAGTAGGGGCGGTGAGCTTGAGGGGGCTCTGGGGGCCGAACCACCTCCACAGCTGCCGGCCGTGCAGGCTGCCGGCTGTTTGTCTCAACCGGGGGGGGGGGGGGGGCGTTATGCCTGTTGGGTACCAGGCAACATCATGTTCAAGCTGGTGAGGCAAGTGTAGCCACTGAACAGGTGAGGACCAGGGCTCAGAGAGGGAAAGACACTTCCCCGGGGCCACACAGCCAGTGAATGGCAGGGTCGGAGCCCAGATCTGCCAGCCCCACCACACACCCGCCGGCTGGGTGGGCGAGAGTCCCGCCTCGGAGCTCTCGCACCATCACATTCACCGGGCACGCTCTACTTTCTGAACACAACATCCCCCGAAGGAACTGACCTGACGCAAAGGTCACACTGCCCCCAGAGGCCTGGGCCGCTCACCTCAGCCCGCTGGCCAAGAAGGCATCGAACTCAGCAGCCATCTTGCAGGACAGGGCGGGGTGGCTGTGCTCCGCAGAGCAGTTGGTGACCACGAGGTGGGACCCTGGAGACGTGAGGACCAGTCAGGGGAGCCTGCCCTGCTCCTGCCACGCTCCCCGCGCCCTCTCGGATGCAGAGCGGGATCTCGGAGAGCTGAAGCGGCCACCACCCTCTCACTTTACACGGGGGTCTGACCAAGGCAGGCTGGCCGCCCAGGACCGCAGGGCGATGGACACAGGCCGGCTGTCGAGGGCATAGCCCCCACAGCGCCTCCTCACACTACTGCCTGTTCCCCCCGGACAGGGGCATCCCCACTTGCCAAGGGTGGGCAGCTCGTTTTTCTGGGAACCTCCACCCCACGGGACAACACCACAGCTTTCCCCAGCAACAGCCGAAGGGCCCCACCCCACGCAGGCCTGGCAGGTACCCAGTCTCTTCTGGAGGCCTTCATCCAGGCTGTCGGTGAAGACGAAGGTCTGGAAGGAAGAAGGAGGCGTTAGGGCAGCCTGAGGCAGTCTGCGGCCCAGCACGGCCAGGGTCCCCCGGACCGAGGCCAGGCCACCACCTCCTTCAGCAGAAGACAGTCACCTGTCCTCAGGACAGCCTGACACCCTTGGTTGGTGTCCGACACATCACACCACACAGACCCACACGCCACACACACTCTACACCCCCCACACCTGCACCTGGCCCTGCACAGTCACCCACACACACTCCTGCGCCTTTTGACAGGACACAGACTTCAAAAGCCCCGCACTGAGGGAGACAGTCACAATTTCACAGCCACATGGACGCACTGGACAAGACAGGGTCCTGCTATGTCCCAGAAATTTTTCATCGTGACCCCAGCCAGCTCTCAGCAGAGACGCCGCTCACCAGGGGCTCCCACCCAGCTGCCTCCCAAGGACCTCCCGAACCTCCAGGGAGCCCCCGGCCCCCACTCCGACCCAGGGCCTGCCCTGCCTGCCCCCCACTGCAAGGGCCCGCCCCGCTCAGTGTCAAGCACAGACCCCTCCCCTCTCCAGGAGTCAGGCCTGCGGATCTGGCAGCCCACCTTGAGCCTCAGTTTACCCCCTCGTCACGTGGGGAACGGGACTGCAAGACTGAAATGAGAAAAGGTGCGAAAGAACGAGAGTTGGCCTGAGGCAGACTCAGCGCTGTGTCCAGGGGAGGCCGGGGCACAGGCCGCCAGACGCTGGTGGGGGCGTCGGCAGGGAGCCCGCCTGCCTCCCTAGGCCGCGACCTGGACGACGGCAGGCCCGGCCTTGCCCCTGGGTCTCTCTTCCCGGCAAGACCAGAATCAGATGAAACCTGGACCCCCACTCCCGCGAGCACCTTCTCTGGCTCCCTGCTGCCCCTGGGATAAAGGCCAGCCTCCTGCGCTGCCCAGGAAGGTGCCACCTGTCCCTTCCCCTGCGCCAGAGTCAGCCTGACCTCGCCACTTCCTGCCCCACCCCAGGGCTCCTCGTTCCCCAAGTATGCCATACATACACCCCTCTGAGCCTTTGCCCCCTAACTCCCCACTGAATCATCTCCTCCAGGAAGTCTTCCCAGACACCCCGCCCAGTCTCCTGCTCCACCTTATAGCAGCCGTTCAGCTGTGAGATTCTAGCACCACGTCTCTCCCCAGACAGCGACATCCCGGAGGGGGACAAGCCCCACCTGATTTGACCCCTGCTCCCATGGGCAGGCCTGGGCAGCGTCCACCTCTGCCCCTCTCACTGGGGTCCACCCGCCACCATCAGAATAAGCTAGCTCGGGTCCTTGGGCTTCCACAGCCCGCCCCCTCCTCTCCACAGCCATCCAGCCTCTCAGCCTCCATTGCACCCCAGCCTGGCCTCCCCTGAGCCCCAAGCAATCCGGTGGCCCAAGGCAGCAGGCACCAAACGCCTAGGGTCATCCCAGCCCCATCTAGCTGGGCCAGCAGCTTGGGGTCACCGTGCCTCGTCTCTCTCACACCCGGCGCCTGCCAGACCTATCCCGACCCTCAAGTTACCTGGGACGCAGCCAGGGCCCTGGGCCACCCCTTGGCCGGCCCACTCTCGTTTGCTCCCCCCACTTTGCGGCAGCCACTTTTCACCTTCTCCGGCTCCCCACTCCCCGCCCCCCACAGTCCCCAGGGAGCCATAAAGTGAGGGCCTTTCTTGCCCTACTGCTTGGCCAGCTTTGGCCACAAGCAGCCACCGGATAGCGGAGCTCTCTTGAGTCGGGAGCTTGAGCCAAATGGGCCAGGGAATGTTTGTTGATGAGTGAGCAAGACCACAGGAATCAGTGGGGGGAGGAGGGGACCCCACCAGGGCCTGGGGACTGGCGACCAGGGCTGGGGTTTCCGGCCCTGGGAATCCCAAGGCTGGCACAGGGCAGGCGGCCGCTTCCTCTGAGCCTAGGGCTGCCGTTTGTTTAAGGAGGGACCCTGACAATGGTTAAAACCTCGCAGGAAGACACAGGGACAGGCAGCCTGCTGGGGTCAGGGGTGGCCAAGGCCATCTGCTGCAGAGAAGGGGCCACATGCG